TTTGCACCAGGCAAGCTGGCATCAGAGCCCCCACTTGTAACCATGACACATTGTTCTAACACGACAGGCTTGACCTAAGTAGGTCATGTCAAGAATTAATTGTGGGATGCAAAATTGGCAGCAGGGAGACAAGTCAAGAAGCTATTCTAATGATCCAGGGACAAAATGATGAGGACCTCAGCCAGGATAGAGCAGGGGCAAGAAGTTGATAAAGACAGATTTAAGAACTGATAAGGAGGCCAGGCTTGGTGGCTCAGTCTGTAATCCCAGCACTTTGGGAGGCCGAGTTGAGTGGATTGCCTGAGCCCACAGGTTTGAGACCCACTGGGGCAACTTGGCGAGACCTCATCTCTACAATAAATCAAAAATTACCTGGTCCTTGGTAGCGCACGCCTGTAGTTCCAGCTCCTTGGAAGACTGAGGTGGAAGGATCGCCGGAGCCCAGCAGGATGAGGCTGCAGTGGCCAGGAGCTTGCCACTGCACTCCAGTCTGGGCGACAGAGTGAGACTCTAACTCAAAAAAAAAAAACTGATAAGGATGTCAGAATCAACAATTTAAAGAGAAAAGGAGAATAGAAGTTTAGGTTAGGAGTTTGGTACCCTGGGTGAAGGGGGGAGATGATGAGCCCCATTTGGACATGCTGAGAAGAAGTCATTCAAAGACGTCTAGCAGATAGGTGGATAGACTGGCCTTAAAATTAGGAGAGAGGTGCAGGCTGAAGAAATGGCTTAATCATACACACATTCATTTGGGTGTTCAGTGGCCAAGGAACAGATCGTCTTCACTGGGGTGGTTGGTGAAGGTTTCTTGGGTGAGGTTTACTTTGAGTGAGGCTGTGAAGAGCAGGAAAGCTCCCAAAAGTAGAGGTGTGGGGGGAGGAATGTCAGTGTGATGGGGAGTCTGCTGTGACAGAAGCTGGAGAAGAGGTATGCTGGGTGTGGATAGGGGCAGAAAGGTAGTCTAGGAAAGGCAACAGAAAACTTCAGAATGACCGTTGATGATTTCTTCCTTCTAAATCTGATAAAAAATGGAAATCTTTTTTTTTTCTTTTTTTCTTTTAAAGATGTGGTGTACACTTCAGGATTAAATACAGATATGGTCAACATACAGGTGAAGTTTGGGCCTCTCATTGGTTCTCATGTCGCCTGGTTCAGGATCAGGTACTCTTATTGATATCATGTGCCTCCCCCTCCCTCCCCTGGCAGTGTCCCACTACTGCCAATCCCTTTCTTGTAGTATTATGATAAATGTTCAGGGTCCACTTATGAGTTAGAATATGTGGTACTCAGTTCTTTGTTTCTGTGATAGATCACTGATATGGTAAATTCTAAATCCATCCAAGTTGCCGCAAAGTTTATAATTTAGTCCTTCTTTATGGCTGCATAGTAGTCCATTGTGTATATGTACCACATTTTTTTATCCAGTCCACTTTCGATGGGCAGCATGAGCATGGTCTTTTGGGATATTGAAAGTGGTTTAATGCATACAGCTCCCTGTTACACTGGTTTTAAGAAATTACTTTGGGTGAATAAAGGAAGGAGCCGCAACTTTAAGCATCAGTCTAAAACATTTCATAAAGATTTTAATTTATTTTTGCTAAGACCACAATGCAATAGCAAAAAAAAAAAAGAAAGAAAATCTTTATGAAATATTTTAGACTGATGATCAAAGTTGCGGCTCCCTCCTTTATTCGTCCAAAGAAATTTCTTAAAACCAGTGTAACAGGGAGCTGTATGCATTAAACCATCTTCAAAATCCTAAGAGACTATGTTTCTGGATGCCTGGGCCACCAGGAGACCTCATATATGTCTGATCAGTGAAAACATGGAAAGGGGTGAGCAAGGAAGGTAGAGAGAAGCAGCTGGACTACATGTGTGTGCACGGGGAGGTGACTGTCTGGGCAGAGTTGCTAGAGAGAAAGCCCATGTAGCTTCTGCTGGGGAAAGGACACTTCTTTGGTACTTTTGTTTCTCGTGGGCCTCCTCTAGTTTTTAGGTTCCATCTTGGTGATACCATAGGCCAGGAGTGCCTGTGGTCCTTGGCAGAAGCCACACTACTTCTGCGAGGCTGAGACCACTGCAGTGGCCTGGTTTGCCTCACAGACTTGGAGTGGAGAAAAGTAGGGTTTAGGGTTAGAAGTAGGACACGGTGTCTCCTGAGCGTCACAAAGTTGCTGCAAGAAAGTTTAGCAAGACTATTTACTTTTCCTCCATTGTTAGAGCAATGCATAATTACCATAAAACACTGGGAAAATACAAAGGAAAGAAATGTAAACATCCCATAGTCTGACAATTACTGTTCACATTTTGACATACTTCTTGCCAGTCTTTTCTCAATTGTAATCTTTTTTTAGTTTGTTTTGCTTAAACTGTGATCAAATCAGATATACAATTATATATCTAGCTTTTTGATCTAATGTTAGAATGTAAACATTTGTCTGTTAAACTATAAATTTTAATTTCATGTATCAACTTGAACTTTTTTACCAGTTTATAAGTGAATCGCGGTTCTTCTGGATTACAGCTGGGGGAGAGAAGTAGTAGCTGGACTGGAAGGCAGTAGGGTCATGAGGCTAATCATGGTCCTGAGGAACTCCTTCCACTGTCCCCAAACCCTCAAGCCTGATTGCGAGCGTTTCCAGACCTGTCCAAGAAAGATTAGAAAATTAAAAAACCCCTGAGCCTCCAAGACATTCCTGCAGGCTCTAGACCTAAACTTATTTAAATGGAGGAGGCCTGGAATCTCCCACAGCTGTGAAAGTGAGACCACCTTGCAGTTTCCCCTCTCCATACACAGAAGGGAGGCCCTGGCTAAGTTGCCATTTCCCTGTCTGGGGCGTAGAGGCACCTCAGTGATGCAGCCTACTTACTGACTCCTATAGCTGTTAGTAGCTTCTGTATCATAAGTATTCACATGGTGGAAATTATAAATAGCTTACTGGCTCCAGGTTTAGGTTTTCGTTTTTTTTTTTAAGTATATAAGTTAGTTTGTTAACTAGTTAGCTAGCTACTTATGGGGAAGATTTCTGTGATGTGAGGATTGAAGTAGGATCTGGGAAGGTGCTTTTTGCAGATTACTCAGGGTCTCTGAGACAACAAACAGCTTGTTTACTTGCAGAGAAATGTGCTATCAGCCGGGAAAAGTCAAATATTTTTTTCTCCCTGACTAAATTATTTGAGTGTGGCTTAAAAATTAAAACACCCAGAATACCAGTGAAACAGTTTAACCAATCGTTTATATTAAATACAAGTTTATTGCAATGCTCCTCTCTCCCCATTTGGCATGCTCCCTCCTTAATCTGAACTAAATTGTTTCAAGATTGTCTTCAGCGTGGCACATGGGTAGTCACACACTTTGGAACAGGCCCACTTGGGTTTGAATCCTGGCATAAGCAATTACCGGTTGCATTTTCTCAGCAGTAAGATGACAGCAGTAATACCGATCTCCTTGGGTAGCCATGAGGATTATGTGAGAGGAAGTTTGTGAAGAATTGGAACCTAGAGGGTTGGTCATTATCTCTTCCCACCACTACCACTGCTTGGAAGACCCCCATGCCTGGGGTGGTCTCCATGGCCTGTTCTGACCTCGACTGCCCTTGGGGCCTGAAATGAAATGACTGATGCTCTGCGGCATGTACCCAAGGATTTATGAAGAAGAGAAAAACAGCCAGCTTTCCCAGAGACTTATGGTTCTAAAGCTCATCTTTCGGGAGTGAGAATCTTAAATTCATACTTACTGGGCCATTTGCCCAAACCTGGACTAGAAACCATTCATATCTGTGGAGTTGCTGGAAAAACAGCTTTTCAGTCCTTCTTCAGAATTTCCATCTGAATGCATTTGGTTCTGCTGCTGGCAGAAGAATGTCCCAAAACTTTTTAGCAAAGGTTTTGTGATCTCTCAGGAGGAAAGGTGCTACACAAATCACTCAGAAATACACAAAAAGAGGAATTGTGCCAGAATTGCTTTTTGGGAGAGATAAGCTTCAACATTATCATGTGGACTTAAATCATTTCCTGCATTGGCAGATTTTCTCATTAACCCTAAGTACAGCCCCTGCCTGTGGCCTCTCTTCAGAGCATTACTGACCCACCCAGGTGTGGTATGTGGTGGGACAGCCCCAGCTGCATTCCCAGACAAATGCTTCTGCCCCTCCAAGTTGTCAGTCCTCCCCTGAGGGGTGTTTTTCATCTGTACCAATGTTCACCTTTTATTCCTGGCTTGTGGCAGCTTGTCTTGAGCTCTGAAAAACAGAAAGGATCTGTCATTCCCCTCTAGTGCCTCAGTTCAGGACGGGACAGGGCACGGTTGTTGCCCTGGATCTCATGAAGACAGGCTGTGCCCCAGCTAGCCCTGCTCGCGCAGAAGCACGTGTTCTCCATTCCTATGTCTCCTACTGTTGATGTCTTAATGTAAGGGAAGTCTTCATCCCTGAGCTCTAGGGTCCAGGCCCCCATCAACTTCTTGACAAGTGGTGGAGTTCACAAAGGGGGTTCCTTTGTGCCCTTGCGTGCTCTGTTTCCTAACTCATGGAGTTAGTCATTTCTGTCGTGAGCAGGGAGTGTCAAAGAACCTAGATTCAAAGTGACTCTTTCCTGGTACCGTGATGGAGAGATGCATCTAGGGAACGACAAGTCTGATTTGTGCCTGAAAAGATGTGTGTTTTGAAGGGTGGGAATACTTCAACTTTTGAGTCAGGAATGCAGATGGTGACTGACCCTGAGGATGGGTCAGTTAAAGAGCAAGCAACCCCTGCTGGGCCGAGGTCAGAGGGATTCTGTCCAGCCGGAGGGATTGGACTCCACTGGCCAGCTGGTTTTAGGGATTCACATTGGATTAACAGTCCTTTAGAGTGCCTTCCAGGGGCCCCTCACCTTCTCCTCCTGTGCAGACCCCCTGGAATCGGGTCTGGGGGGCAAATGCCCGTTTGAATGTTTACATCGTGTTGCAACTACCAGTACATTCTGCAGTTGGCCGCAGTGTGCTCTGTTTCTCTCCTCAGCTTCCCAGTGCAACATCAGCTTAAAGAAGCAGAGGAGCCGCAGCATCCTTAGCTCCTTCTTCTGCTGCTTCCGTGATTACAATGTGGAGGTCCCCCCACCCAGCAGCCCCGGTGTGCTTCCGCCACTGGTGGAGGAGAATGGTGGGCTTCAGAAGGTCAGTGCCGTAGGCGAGTGTGTGTTCCGTAAAACCGTAGCAGCAGCATATCTGTTCCATCCTTGACGAATATCCCTCATAAGAGTGCATGACAGTATGTGTGTAGCCATTTACTTAAAGATTGGAAATTACAAAAAAGTTTTCCTTTTTGATGAAGGATACCTCAGCCATTCCTATCCAGCAACTAAAGAACGTGTTTGATGGAAGTTCTTAAGAGTCACTTCACGTTTTCATAACATTCTCTTTTGGGGAATTGAATGCATGAAATAGCTGAAGAGCCAGGAACAGACACAGAAATAGACAAAAAGAGAAACAGAGACATAGGGAAGTTCTGACAATAAATGTCATTGAGTTTAACTACCTTGTTTAATAATATACATGTGCTATGTATTGCTTTGTATGTATTAAATAAAAAAATATAAGTCAGATGATCACAATAGGTCAAAAACCAAAACCCACTCACATACTGTTTAACAGACACATTTGAAAACAAAGCGACTTAGAACAGCTGAAAGCCTAAGGATGAGCAAGCAGATACCAAACAAGAATAAACAAAAAAGAAAAGAGGGGTTATAATATTAATCACAGTAAAATTGAGTTTCAGGTAAAAATCCCCAAGAGAGAATTTCTCATCATGAAGGTAGTTGAGATTGAGAACACAAAAATCATAAAACTTTATATTCCAAATAACATGAGCAAAGGACATGAACAGGTAATTCACAAAATAAGAAATAAAACTGGTCAAACATATAAAAAAGTAAGAAAAAGGTTGCACATATAAACATGAAAAAAATGTTCAACATGGTTAGTGACCAAAGAAATGCAAACTAAATAACAAGGTATCCTTTTCCATCTATCAAGTTGTTAAAGATGTTTTTAAAGATAATATTTGGGTTTGGCAAGTGTTGGTGGGAAAGAGGACAGAACATGTAAATAGGTTATTGGTGGAAATGTTAATTGATTACACCTTCCTGGAGGAAAATTTAGCAATATGATATTAAAACCCTAAAAATGTCCCTATTTGTTGATGCAAGCAGTTCCACTTCATGGGCTAATTATGAATGTGTAAATATTTAACCATCTAGCATAGGTTATAATGTCATAAAATTATAAGCAACCTGATGTTCAACAATAAGTGATCAGTTAAGAAAACTACAGAATAATTGTACAATAAAATTGCATAGAGCCCTTCAAAATGACATGTCATAAATATTACTGGTATAAAGAAATGTTCAGAATACATCATTTAGTAAAAACAGGCTAAAATATCACAGGTGTATGTACTTATAAGTATACATATAGTCTCTCTCTTACACACACACGCGCACACACACACACACACACACACACACACACACACACACACACACACACACATAGAAGAACATATGCCAAAGTAGGGAAAGGTTAGCTCATACTGCTCATACTGGTGGAAGTATATATAAGATTTTCTCCTTTCCTTTGTGCTTTTTTTTTCTTCCCTAATTTTTATAAAGGATGCTAAAGTTAGTTTTATGAGTTAAAAAAAAAAAGTTATTTTAAAAGAACATATGGATGCAAAGAAGGGAATTCTGGGAAGATGACAGCCTAAACACATGGCTCTGATCACTAAAATTTCCTGCTGGGATAAACCCAGGTGAGCCTGCTAATAATGGAGCCTGGAAAGTGCACTAAGGCTCCCAGTTTTCCTGACACCTCAGGGGAGAGAGCAGGCACAGGATTCATTCTCTTGGTACTCAGTGAGAAGCAGGGAGCCACCAACTGAGAAACATGCTTGCCTCTCCTAGAGTCCTCAGACAAAAACTTGAAACATATAATCCCATAAGATCAGCCAGCCAGCAGAAGCCTGCTATTCCCTTGGAGAGGGTCTGCACTGCCCACTTGATATGAGTGGTCCTTGGAGGGGCTGCCCTGGTGAGCTGGACCACTTTCAGTTGTTGTGTCCTGGAGGAGCCAGTGGTATGAGTTCTTTTGTCATCTCTTTGTAGTTTGTCTTCATCTCTTTGGGCTCCACTGGGCCATGAAAACAGCACTCGTTGCCGGGCCTTGCTGTACTCCCTCATGTGCACTGGCCAGAGAGCCCATGGAATGAACCACACGCAGACTAAGGGAGCACACGACCTTGGGCAAATGAAGAAAAACGCAGCCTCCGCTGAGAAATCCAAGTTTAAAAACCAGAATGAGACTGCTCTTAGGGCAAAACTAACAGAAGAGATAGAAGAGAACTTTAATAGACAACTCAAGAGATCAATTATACGTATAAAAGTTTAAAAATAACATTAAAAACGTGATTCCTAAATATAAAACTTAAAAATGTGATTTCTAAATATAAAAATTCAATAAACTGGAAAAAAGGGAGAATGAAAATGGTCACTGCTAAGAACTGAGTTAATGTTCTGGAAAAGCAAGTGGAAGAAATATCTTACAATTCAGATCAGAAACACAAAGATGGTAACATGGGGGGGGGGAAGACATCTAGGAAACCTAAGGTGCAAATAGTGGGAGTTCCAGAAAGAGAGAAAGTGGTATAAGACATTGTTCTTGAGTGGAAAACAAAACTTGAATCTGAAGATCGAAAGAGCTCACCAAGTCTACAGCAGGATTTATGGGGGCGAGCCAGGGAGCACATGCCTTGATATATGCTGTTGAAATTCTGAAAATCAAGGATAAAGAGACTATTTTACAAGCTACCAGAACAAGTTATTTTTGAAGAAAACAATTACATTATCAAACTTCTCATCAGCAACACTAAAAGGCAGAAGACTATGAAAGGATGTTTACAGGCTACTCAAAAAAAAACAAAAAACAAAAAACAAAACCCATAAGTTCCACATGTGACCAAGATATCATTTATTTATTGAGGCAAAAGGAGTACATTTTCAGATGTGTCATGATTGAGAAAGGGGGCAAAAAAATAAAACTCTGGGTGAAATTAATACTCAGTTATAATTATTTTAAAATGTAGAAATAAATATGACTATTAGGTCTAGAACTGTAAATAACACAGTTAGAAAATAGATCCTCAAAATTCACAGAGGGAGAAAGGAGAAATAAACAAATGTAAACAAGCTGTCAAAATTTAGGGGCTGGGCTCAGTGGCTCAGCCTGTAATCCCAGCACTTTGGGAGACCAAGGTGAGTGGATTGCCCGAGCCCACAGATTCGAGACCAGCCCGGGCAACTTGGCAAGACCTTGTCTCTACAATAAATCAAAAATTAGCCAGGCACAGTTGTACATTCCTGTAGTTCCAGCTACTTGAAGGACTGAGGCAGAAGGATCACAGGAGCCCAGCAGCTACATGCTGGGGTGACCATGATCATGCCACTGCACTCCAACCTGGGCAACCAAGTGAAACTCCAACTAAAAAAAAAAAATTGGAAAGAGAAAAAGAACAAATAACAGATAATAAATAGCAAACATAACATAAAAAGAAGGTATAAACCAAATTTAATGAACCAGATTCTTCTAACAAAAGACCAAAACTCTATCAGATTGGCTCAACAAATTCAGCTGTATGGTATTTCCAAGAATATACCTGTCATCAGATAGCAATTATTTTGGCAGCAAGTAAAAGAAAACTGACAAACAATAGCTTAAACAAACAGGGTATTTTTTTTCTCACATAAATAGCCCGGGTTAGGCAGTTGCTGGGATTAGGTTTAGATGCCATCAGTAATTCAATCTCTTTTTGTTCTTCTGTCTTTCCATCTTTCTCTCCACCATCCTTGACATGTTTGCCTTCATTCTCACACTTTAATTATTTATGATCTCAAAGTCACAAGCTTCTACATTTAAGGGATGAAGACGGGGAGGAATGGCACTAGCCATATCTGTCCCTCTTATAGAACATAAATGTTTTCACAGAGAACCCTTAGAGACTTTTACGTATGCCTTATTAGCCAGAACTTTGTCATGTGGCTACCCTGCAATAGTGAGGGAGGCCTGAAAGGAGAGAATTTAGCCCAGCATACTCCTGCTCTCAACAAAATCAGAGCTCTTTCACAAAGGAGAAGAAAGGAATGACTAATGAGTGAATGTGCTAGTCAGTATGGGCTTAGTTATGCCTCTGTAACAATGTCAAAACCTCAGAGGCTTAAAACAATAAAAGTTTATTTTTCACTCATACTACTTGTTTAGCATGGGTTGTCTGAGCCAGCTGTTCTATGACACTGTCCAATAGAAAGATCATGGGTGTCACAAATATAATTTAAATTTTTCTAGTAGCCACATTTATAAAAGTATTTTTTAAACCAGTGGAATTAATTTTAATAATTTATTTTATTTAGCCTGCTATATCCAAAATATTATTTCAACATATAGTCAATAAAAAATATTAGTGAAAAAATATTAATGAGATAATTTACATTATTTTTCTCCTACTAATTCTTCAAAATCTGATTTGTATTTTACACTTTGAGTACATCTTAATTTGGACTAGCTACATTTCGTGTGCCCAACAGCCACATGTGACTAGTAGCCACTGTACTGGATACTGTGACCATCTTATTCTTATTCATGGACCTAGGCTGAGGGAGGCCCCATCTCTTTGCTTCTATATTTGTCACGGCAGGAAAAAGGGAATGTGATAAATCACACTAGCTCTTAATGTTTTTATCAGAAAGAGTATGCCTTGTTTCAGTATTTTATTGGCCAGTGTAAGCCACATGGACTACTCCTAACTTCAGGGCATGGAAGTGTAATTCTACCATCTATCCAGAAAGAAGACTGGAATCATATGGTGAACAGTTCTAATGATAGTTGCGGTAGGTGACTAATAGTTTCTGATACAACATCTAACATACAATGGTAAAGGAAGGTGGAAAATAAAGAAATGGGCAAGATATACAAGGTGGATCAATTAATATCAGACAAAGCAGAATTCAAGAAAAGGCATTAAACGGGATAAAGAAGGACTTTGTATAATGATAAAAAATCTAATATATAAAGTGCATAACAGCCTGTAAACCTTTATATATAGTCAACAGTGCAGCCAGATACAA